AATTATCTTTATATTGTGAAAAACATTTATTATTAAAAGGGACAGAGGTTAACATATGATATTTTTCTCAAAATATTATAGGGTTCTAAGAAATCTTTAAAATATTCAGGAATATTTATCATATAGAATATATGACATTAACTTCTTGAAATCCTAAACAATATTGTCAATTCAAATATTTTGCAATGTCATTTATTTCATGCAAGGCGTTGGTAAATGAGTGAATGGAAAATATACAAAAGTTAAAAAAAATGATAAAAATATTTCAAGGGGCAACTATTGGCTCAAACTTCCAGAAGGACTTTAATTATAATAAATCAGAAAATGCAATTTAATGCTTGAATAATTGAGCTCCACACAGAATGAAATCTGAAATTAATTCTGGCTTTGAAACCTACAAAAGTTACATAGAGTGTACTAATTTTGCCTACAAATCTAAAACTGGAATAAAAACATATAAGATACAATGTAAAACCCCTAACATTTAACCTGCCTTTTGTAAGCTCTCAAAATAAGTTATTTTAATTATTGTTCTGACAAACTGACATAGTTATTTCTGATTCATATCAGTTAGACCATATAACATAGTTCCTTAGACAGGAATCTCTATACTGTTTCATATATTTTTGGCTATGTTTAGATCAAATTCCAAAATAAACTGTTCTGTGTCACAATGCTTATGGGATTTCAGATAACACTGTATTGATTTAAAACCTAATTATCCCTATATATGCACTTGAGTAATTCTCCACAGTAAAATACTTGAGTATTTAAGATAATCTACAATATGTTTCATTTTTATTTTCCCACCCTGAATTATTCAATAAAGATACCAAAGTTCTCTGTAATTTGATTTCATAGCAATTGTTGCATCATATACTGCATGTGTGATCTATGAAGTGAGCTGGTAGAGAGACAGAAGAGGAGGAACACATACCTTCTCTTGGCCAAAGAGTGGAGTATCCTTTAGTGGGAGACCTGGTTACTCATGGAAACAAACAAACAACATCTGTGGTTTACACAGACTCTCCTGTGAAGGTGCAGAGTGAAGCCACACTGGAAAAAAGTAGATTTCTTGTCAAAGTGTCACTTAAAACTTGAACAGGAAATCCTAGCTATTGTGAAGGCAGTTTCTCATCACACACCTCCAGAGCAGAGGAGACTAAACCTGTAGTGTGTCATTTATTTTGTCCATTGACAAAGGCCTCCAAGAAATTGTGTTCCCATTCTAAAAGATATGAGGGGACAAAAGACTTAAAAATATTTGCTGTCAAATTGCTTCCATCTAAACCACAAACACAAAAACTTTGTCTATTGAATGTTTCACTGCTAGACAAGGTTGCTGAGTCTTGGCATTACATATTGTTTTCTTATACGCTCACGTGTCAATTCTATTTTATGGTAATGTTCTAAAACCATAACCCCCTAACTAATATATATTAATTAAGATGTCACTAATTTTCTGAAGAATTGCATTTTCAACTTTATTACAATATCTCCTTTATCACCAGCTCCCAAGCTTTTCTTCTCTATTTCTCAGCAGCCAGTTTTTCATTTTGTAACAGTTGTTTAGATATCCACTGATAAAAACTGTCTCTTGACCTGATAAATTTTTCAAAACTATTGAATTATATCATCATTCCATGATTGAAATATTAAATAGTTTCTCATTATACTTTTTAATAATCCATGCCCTAATCATAACATAATCAACAAGAGTGATAATTTACATAATGTATATACTTTCATAGGAGTATTTGTTGTAAATATGACAATAGTCCAACCCTAACTGTTAAGGGGAAAAAGTTGATTTTTAAAAAATATTATTATTATTTTTAAATATTTATTTGTTTGTTTGTTTATTTATTTATTTATGCAAGCACTGGGTACAGTCAGAAGCGCGGGAGGGTGAGAGAATCCACCAGAGCCAGAGCGGGGAGCAGAGCAGGCAGAAGGACCGAAGTACACTGCTGAGGGGAGCAGCGGGCGGCAGGAGAGGTCTGCGCGCCATGTGGGACCCTCGCCAGTGGCCGGGGAGCAGCCGGGGACCGAACCCTGCTGCAAAGGCTGCGGGCAGTTTCGCAACCCAGCGCTCAACCGCTGCGCCACCAGGGAGGCCCTTTTTTAAAATATTATTTAAGCAAAATTTGGGGGACAGAAAAAGTAGGTTTTTAAAGGACAAAGTCACACTAGCCATTATTAAAAGAAATGTAAAACATTCTAGCTTCAAAGAAAATTCTATAAGAGAGTTCACCTAAAATAGAAGTAACCATAAAATATGAAATCCCTGCATGACTTTGAATACAGTAATATGTCTACTTATTTTATGAGTCAAAGAGATAATCAAAATATATGTCACAACATCACATGAATTCAAAGGAAAATATGAAAGTAATGTTCTATCTGTGGATTCAAATTGCCTGAAATGCGTATATATCACTCAAATTGAAAGGGCAGAAATCTGATCAGACATCCAAGAAACTGAAAATGGCAAAGCAAAAAATAAGTAAAATTTGTCTGAAACAATAGAAGAAAAAATAAATAACAGTAACAAATGACAAAGAACAAATCTCTTTAAGGAGCATGAACAAAGCATATGTATTCTCATTGTAAAAAATAACAATCACACTATTGAAGAAAACAATTGAGAACCTAAGTCTTTTATACCTAGATTATGCATGAGAAACCATTATGATTTTTGGTTTTCTTAAAAGATTTATTTTATTTATTTATGCATACAAATAAAGGGCTGTTGGCTAGAGGTGACCCAGGTAAGAGGATTCCCAGAGACAGAGCAGGGAGCAGAGAAGTCAGACTACTGAATACACTGCTGAGGTGAAGGAACAGCCAAGAGAGGAGAGGTCTGCTGCTCCAAGTGGGTTTCCCCCTGGCCTGGGATCTAACTCATCTGTAGTGGCTGGGAATTGTTTGACAGCACTGAGACTAACCCCCCACCCCCAACATGAGGGGACTCCCCCATTATGGTTTTTAGTAGGTATACCAGACAATAAGCCAATATTATGAATACATTTTATGCCTATATGAAATAGAAAATTTGTAGAAAATGTAATCACCAAAAATTTGTATAGCAAATACTTCTACCTGAAGAAACTGCATGTTTTAGAGCTACTGCGTTTTAACATAAAACTCCTCTAGAACAGGTTTACATGGTCAGATGATGTCGGCAGTGAAGTAACACTTAAATACTAATGTATTCCAGGTAGTAGAAAAACAGGAATCCTTCCTAATGTAGACTTGATTCAAAAACTGTCTAACGTATACCTGTGAATTAAAACTTAGTCTAAACTTTTTGTGAATAAGAAAGAAAAATTTGCTGATCTAAATCAAATATATACATGGATAAAGAACACACAGGGCCTCCCCTGGTGGCGCAGCGGTTGAGCACTGGGCTGCGAGGCTGCTCGCAGCCTCTGCAGAGCCGGTTCATTCCCCGGCTGCTGGCAAGGGCCCCACAAAAATAAAAAAGAAAGAAAGAAAAAAGAACACACAGAATTATTGCTATAGTTTTATTGCAAAAATGCAAGATGATTTAGATACTTGAAAGAAATAAAGATAATTTACTTCATAAACATTTTACAAAGAAACATTTCTCATTTCAATTGATGCAAAACAAATAAAAAACATAATATCAAAAATGAGAATGTGATGGCATGACATTAATTGGATAGTGATGATGAAAAAAGTAACAATAAACTTCATATATAAGAATGAATATTGAAATATTTTTCCCTAAAATGGGAATACATAGAGATCAATCATGGTAACTACTATTCAATAATGGAAATAAAACTCTGGTCTGTAAAAAGCCAACTAAAAAAGTAATTACACTTGGAAAGAAGGAAAAAAGTGTGATTATTTATAAGAAATAACTATTTACATCAAAATTCATACTTCATATATTCTTATACTAGAGTCATATTGATTGATAGAATCAATATATAAAGTCAGCAAAAACATTACATATAAATTCAATACCAACTTCAGTTGTATTGCTTTTTACAACACCAAAAATTGCTAAAAGATATTCCAGACCTTTGTAAATAAAGTGTGTTTACTAAAGCATAATAACATTGTTTCTCTATGTCTTTTGTAAAAACAAGGCATAATAAGAAAAAAATCAAATTTAAGGAAGGATTAAGGTTGATGTAGATTGAAAAAATAAATATGGTAAAGATGACTAAACTCCAAATTACTTTAAATATTAAATGCTCTCAAATGTCATCACAGATTTTTCTAAAAACAACTTTATTGAGATATAATTTATAAAGCATAAAATTGAGTCATGTAAAGTGAATAAATCAAAGACATTTAACATGTTCAGAGTTTGCAAACATCACTATTCTTAGCACTAAAAAAGGTCCATCATTTCAAAAAGAAACAGAGGACTAATCAGTGGCCAGTTCCTCATTCCATCTCCCCTCAGACCCTGGCAACCCCCAATCCACATGCTGTATGAAAGTGAATTTGCCATCACTTATAACTGGACTCACACAACAAATGATTTTTTTAAAGACTTATTTATTTATGCATAAAAGAACTGGGGTGTAGGCCAGAGTTGCAGGAGGTGAGGTGACAGAGACGGAGTGGGGAGCAGAACAGGCAGATCTAGTGAAATGCACTGCTAAGGGGAGCAACGAGCATGACAGGAGAGGTCTGCTGTGCCATGTGGATTTTTCCCTGGTCCGTAGGGATCCAACTCATGCTGCAGTGGTTGGTGATAGCTTGATAGCATTGTTTTTAACCCCTGTGCCACCAGGGAGGCCCACAAATGATCTTTTTGAAGGTTGAACAAAAAGTTCAGGCACTAAAGTAATGCTATCTGTACTCTGGCTGAACATAGTGTATTTCAATAATTATTTTGAAAAAATGCCATTAGAACAAAAAAATATTATGAATGATAAGAATTATTTCTTGAATGGAAAATTATGCAAACAAATCCACACTTAGATTTTTTATTTTAATTTAAATCTTATGCTTGCAATAATACATCTTTAGAACTTCACAATTATCTGCATAATATTTAGATTGTAGCATAACACAGTGGTAGTTAGAAGATGCTGGCTTTCTTATCCTGTAATGAAGAAAAGGGCATAATTCTGTTGTTATGTAATGTTGGGGCAAACCAAGAAACAATAGTATTGCTCTTCATTGCAATACAAGCATATTTTGAAAGTGAATGAAGACAATTTTTATAGAATATTTGTAAGAGTTATCAGTTAGACAAACTGAGCTGCCCTTTCTTCAATAGTTATCAAGATTCCCAAGATTCCACTTGCATTCAACACCATTCTTTATGTCTATAATTTAAATCAAAAGCACTAATATCATTTTTCTTTTAATCCTTTTCATATCTTTCTTCTCTTAAGTTCTTTAATGTTGGGGCAAATCAAGAAACAATTGCATTTTTTAATGCTACTATAACATTATTTAAATAAAACTTACTCTAAATGGGAAGTTGACCCATTTACAAATATCCATGGCTCATTGCTGCTGTTACGGTAGACTCCAATCCATGAAAACACTGATATGGAGTTCATCAATTTCTATTCAAACATAAAGATTTTTTACTTACATAGGAATGATGAAAGGCTTCATTAAAAAAAAAAAAACAAGTAATGTGATCTTTCAAATTATTCTACATTTTCAGAAGGAAGAGACAGATTCCAATCTCACACCAATACACATAGTATGCTGACAGCTGTGGACATGAAGCCAAAACTCTCACCAGTACATGAGCTCCTAAACATTTATACTTAGGAACTTCATTCTTCTTGTCATGTGAATAAGGAAAATCTTACTTAGGCCTGAGGCTTGTCAGCACCAACCTACAACAGGAGGAGGCTCAGGGCAACCATTCCTCCCCTGAGGTGAGGGGTCATGTGCAGCAATAGCAAGGCAGCCTGACAAGAGTGATGCCTCATGATAGTGACAACAGTCAGCGGCCAGGACACGCTAAACATCCCACCACAGAGGAACACAAAAGCAGGGTTGGGAAGGTGGAGATGGGACAACTAAGGGGTTCCTATGACTGAAAGTACTGAACCCTGAAAGTTTCTTTATTCTGAGAAGATGACACTCACTTTGGGCACCTGATACATTAAGCAGAATGGATTTTAAAATGTAATATGATAAAATTCTTCAGTGAAAAATAGCAAACAGTAAATAAATGCAATATGCAGTGGAAATATTGAGGAATTATAGGGGAGTGTTTGAATTTCAGTTCATAAACAAGAAAAAAGATCTATGAAATTGAAAGTCAAGTTAGTGACTAAATAGACAGCAGGAGTGAAGAGAGAGCAGACAGGGAGTCTGGGGTGCCCGGGGGCTGGGACTTCTACACAGGATCTGCTCTGCATATACAATTTTCATTCACTTAGTGATTAATCTGCCTGATCACAATATGTTTGTCTTTCTTTATGTGTATTAAACAGCAAACTTTATTTAACACACACATACATGCACACACACACACACACACATATATATATATATATATATATATATATACATATATAGGAAAAATGGTTCTCTAAGAAAGCCAGCCAAGAAGTAGGTTTTTAAATGTGCATTTACCAAAGATTTTATAAAATCCTCAATATCAAACAATGGAATATTACACAAACTTTAAAATAAACTACAAATTTGTCCAAAAATCTATGAGTTCTACAAATATAAAATTGAGTGAAATAAGTCTTCAATAATGTGGTTGGAACAATCAATTTCTTACCATTTCTTCCTCAGTGTCTATGTAGAGCAGCTGAGAGTTGTTACTCTGACAGGCCGTCACGCTCTCCTTCCAGGTTTTTTGTTCAGCACTGAAGTAATAGCAGTTGTTGGAGTATTTAAACCACCCCTTTGGACAAGGGCCACAATGACATGCTGAACGGAAATTATGAGTAATTACCTAAAACTATTTGGTTTAATAGAATAAGACATATCATATACATGCCGAAATAAGAAGAATCGTGCACATAACACACGCACACACCTCATGGCTGGCACATACAACACACACTCACAGAGAAAGGTCATCTTCTCATGCTATAATTTATGTGTCCATATGAACCAAAGTCACACAAAAATATCCACCTAAATGTCCTCACAAAGAGTAAACAATGTCATTTTTTAATATTAACATTATTTATACATATAATAGCAGCAGGAAGTAAGCCAACTGGCCACATGGGTTTGAAAGTTCTAAGTTAATTTTCTTGAACCCACCTAGACTGTATGAAACTGGGAAGGGGCTGTCCCCCAGCCAGAGCTGAGCTGAAATGCCTTGGCAACCCAGGCCCCATCTGACTGCCAGTTGGAGCCCAGAAAGGGATCCAGGCACCACAGGGGCAGATCGCGGGTACAGGGATGTGCCCTCCTGACTCACAATTTTAGAACAGGGATCTCTGTGTCCAGAACCCACTAAGTTAATTTTCTTCCTGCTGTTGGATAGGATGAACCCCTCCTATTATCCTTATTCATAAATATGTATTATTTGATTTTATAATGTATGTTCTAAGAGAAAATTTATTATCTTTATTACCTAGTCTAACATATATACATAATATAAACTGTGCTAACATTAGAATTTTGGAAATCATTGTGTACCTTTCTGGATGTTTGTTACTGCGGAGGAATCATTCTTCTCTTGTTCTTCAGTAGATCTAGAAAAAAATAAAATAATCCTTATAAAAATTAAGAGTGTTAATATAATATTTCTAAGTTAGAAATGTTGTATTTTGAAGACTTTCTGTAATAAAAGAGGATTGACTTTCCCTGAAAATTAATAAAAGAATTAAGATTGGGAAAAACATCACAAAAATTTAGAGTCTAATTTCACTATCTCTTACAGTATATATTTACCAAACTTCAAAAATTATTTCATAGTTTTCAGTCTTTTAAAGTGTGAATTTGAATCATGAAATCTGAATCTACATAAAGTAACCTGAAGAATTAATAAAAAAATAAAGCTTGGGGAAAATGTCACAAAAATTTAGAGTCAAATTTCACCATCTCTTACAGTATATATTTACCAAACTTCAAAAATTATTTCATAGTTTTCAGTCTCCTAAAGTGTGACTTTGAATCATGATATCTGAATCTACATAATGTAATCTGAACAATCATTCTGTATATTTGTACTTTTGAGAAGGTGAGATTAACCTTACAACATTTAATTAAACAAATACATTAACAAAATAGTTCTACTCCTTAATATTATGAAATAATTAAATCACTGGCAATCATTAAGTGAAAAGTTCCATTAAAATCTTTCATAAATTTACCTATGGGTGTCAACCCACACGGGCACAATAATGCATATCAAGACAAGGCAGGTGAGTCCCAAGATCCCAGCAATGCACTTCTCTGGAGGTGCTGCTAAGCCTGCAGGGAGAGAAATGGAAATGGTGAGAAAGGACAGATGGAGACAGTTGTTCAGTTTGCACACAACAAAATCTACATGCACAGGGAGTCACATTTGTAAATTTGGACCCCAGACCTCTTTCTCCCACTGGAAACTTTCCCCCAGAGTATACCATTCCTATTTTAGTCAACAAAACAACCATGAATTGTTGCTTGTCAACAATAACAAATTATAACACTATCTGGAAAAAATAGCCATCAGACTCCCTCTAGAATACCATATCCCAATGCCAAATTTTCAGCCTCACAAATGAAAAACATGTCGGTTTATCCCCTATTCTTTGTGCACCTCCACCCCTCTGCATCTCCCAGAACAGTTGTGCTGTGTGTCTACTCAATGTTTTACCTTTGAGGTGACAGGACTTGCCATTCTCCTGAGGATCCCGAGCAGCATTGTGAAGACTTAATTCTGAGTAGGTTACCCCCTGCTCCGTTCCAGTAGTGGAGATTTTACTCTTTTTAGGTTTCACTTGAGGTCTTTTTGAGACCCTTGCCAGCTTCAGCTCTGCATAGGTGACTTTTTGCTCGTTCATCTCTGCTGCTCTGTAAAGTCAGGAGCTGTGATCTGTGATAAATGCTTCTCAGTCTTAATAAATGGTGCATAGGACCAGAACACTGTGGGTGGAGAGTGAGTTGAGTGACAGACTCATATTGCAGTTGAACAACACACTGTCTGGTCTGAAGTCGAAGAGCACTAAGGAAGTATCACCAGAGCGGATCCCATCACTGCAGCATACAGACAATGATGTAAACAAATATTATCTCAGTGAGAAAATTTAAAAATAGAAACTCCTAGGAAACTTAAACATATGTTTCATGATATAATAAGTAGTTTTAAAAAGATATTCCATGCTGACACAATAGTATTGGTTGGAAAAACGAAAAGCAAAAAAAAAATAATCAAAAATAAGTTTATGACCAATATTATCTTTATTAATTTAAAGTCATATTCCACAGCAGCCTCTTAGCATCACTTGTATAACTGTATTGAAATCAGAATGCTGGCTTAGAAAAAAATGATGCAATAATTTTTATGTCAATTTTTAAAACTAATGGTTAAAGATGGAATGTTCTAATTTGGAAAATAGCAGTGTTAGCATTTCCTACATTAATTTTTATTTAGTAATTTATTGCTATTTATTAAAAGGGAATGAGTTGTTATTAAATTATCTCAAGCTATTTTTCTTTCAAATATGTTCTTTCATTATTGTGATATTCTGAGAAAGTTTTAAATTTTAAAGAAATTTTGTTAATGGTATGCTATGCTTTTCCAAAACCTAAATCAATAATGAAAACAGAACTACAAAAAAAATTTTGAAAATACATAATTTTAAGTAATACAAGAAATTGGTAATTGATTTACTAGCTAGATAAAAAATAAAATGATATGTACATTATTGGTTCATTAATTATTGATTCAAGCTTCCAGAAAGATCCAATAACTATCCAAGTGAATGAATGGTGTCTTAATTGTGCAAGCAATTGCAATAAATTAAAAATCATAATTTTAGTGATTCACTCAATAGACTCTGTAATAAGTAGGATTGAGAATTAATTCTGACTTTGAAACTATCACATTTTAATTTTCACTCAGTAAAGAAGAAAAAGGAAAAAGAAAAATTTATAGTCTTTCAACTTAGTTTTAGTTTACTAATCTAAAATGAAACCAGGAATATCTAAGATATAATACATGTAAAATATGATACTCAACTTCACTTTTCTCAACTGTCAGTAATACATGCCTTATTTTAATTATTATTTTGATACACCCACCATGTTTTTCCCATTTCATAACATTTATACTATGTAACTGGAGTTTGTTTTATTAGTATGGGTTTCTTGTACAATGCTTGTTTTTTAAAGCATTTTGTATACTTTTAAATTCAAAATGGCATTTTATGGAATATTCATCTTTGTTTTTCCTGAATTATTCAAACAAAGATACCAATGTTCTCTTTGATTTGATTGCACATGAACTGTATATCACTTACCTCACATCTAACCTTCAAAAACTTTCACTAAAAGACATGGACCAGCAGAGAGAGAGGAGAGGAGCAACACATACCTTCTGTTGGCGAGGAAGTTGTGCATCCTTGAGTGAAGGAGGAGACACCTCCATACTGATTTTCAAAGACACTGGACCACAGAGCATTCCTACCAGCAGTGTAAGAGGATTCCATCTTCTCCACATCCTCACCAGCACTTGTTTCTGATCACACTTGTTGTTCTGATCTCTGATCTGTGATCTTTAGAACTGCCCTGTGAAGTTTCAGAGTGAAGCAAGAGTGGAAAAAGTAGATTTCTCATTAATGTGTCACTAGCAGTTTGAACAGGAAATTGTTACACTTGGGCTATTTTGAACACAGTTCACCTCATCACACACCTGCAGACTATAGGAGATGATGGGTTTATAGTTGTCATTTATTTTTCCATTTTCAAATGCCTCTGAAATATATCAGGGAACAAAGACTTGAACACCCATGCTTGTAACTTTTTTCCATAGCAACCATAAATGCTGAAAACTTAGGCCTTGTTAAGACTGTCTTAGATGTATAAATTCTACTATAAAGCAACATTCATAAATCTTGACATTATACACTTTTCCCCTGTGTCCTATTTATATAATTTGTATTACAATGGGAACATTAATATTATTATTCCATTACCAATGGGTGTTTAATGGTGTTTGTCACTAATTATTCCAAAAATCAACATTTTCAAATTTTCTATAGCTATAAGAAAGATCAACACCAATTTATCTTCTCAACACCTCTTCCCTAGTCTGAAAATTCCTGCATTCAATTTTATTCTTCATAAATAAGTTATTTAGATTTCCACTGATGAAAAAACATTAAGCCACATTATCATTCCAGTGACTGAAATATTACCACCATTCATTCATTCATCCTCCAATTATAATTGTGTTTTAATAGGAATCTAGGTGTATTCATGTAAGGAGATTTATTCATTTTAAAAAAATATTTATTTATGTATACAAGAGCTGGAGCACAGGCCAGAATTGGGGGTTGGGTGGGGTGAGAGGATTCACCAGAGACAGAGTGGGGAACAGAACAGGCAGATTGACAAAGTACACTGCTGAGGGGAGCAGCAGGCGAGTCAGGAGAGGTCTGATGTGTCATGTGGGTTGCTCCCTGGCTGGCCAGGGATCAAACTCATGCTGCAGAGGCTGTGGATTGCTTCATAGTACAGTGCTTAACACCGTGCCCACCAGGGAGGCCCTATGTAAGGGAACTTAAAGGTAACTTTCAAAATTCTCACTGAACCAAAAATTGGGAGAGCAGAAAAAAATACTTTTAAAACACAGGTTGAAGGTGCATGACAAAATAATCATTATCATCAAAATACAAATCAAGACCACAAGG